AGGCTTATGTCCAGCAGTGGACTATTAAAGGCTGTTGATGATGATGATGATGATACTGTAAGAATCTCCCATTTTAACAATTTGACGACTACACGACAATCTAAAAATTTTATGCACTGTACCTGTAATGTCTTTGTTGTCTAACTTTTGTAGCAGTTTTCGGTGACTTACGGTGTCGAATGCTTATTATAATCGATAAATATTCTTAAGGCATAGCTCCCTTGATCTATATATCTTTTAATTTGACAAAAAAAATTGGTAACAGTCGTGAAAGTAATACGACAATATCTCACACACGGCCGTCTGATTCCAAACTAGGCAGAGCCTGAACTATGGTAACCAGACTGCTGTCAAACATACTTATATGTTTTTAAATAGATACATATTATAAATAAATTACACCCAGATACAGAATAAATGACCGTGCCCATCACACAATATTTGTCCTGGGTGGGAATCGAACCCACAGGGTCAAGTCAGGGTCACTAACCACTAGACCAACAGGCCCGTCAAAGTACTTGATTAAGGGCGAAAGCCATGTTGTTCATCAATTAGGATTTTTTGTGTGTTAAATAGTTGATTAGGCACCGACACTGGTTTGTAGTTGCTTGGGACAGTTCTACTTCCAGATTTGTAAATAGGACTGACCCTAGCCACCTTGAGTGCATCGGGGAAAGTACCATGCAGTAAACAGTCATTTATACAGTTAGTTAATGACTACTTAGTTATATTTTTTTTGATATTTTATTGCCTTAGTACTGATCCCATCTAGTCCAGCGCTCGTGTTAGGATCGAGGTTGTCAATGATGTTTATTATTTCCTCCGTAGTACAGGGCGTAATTTCGTGTAATATTATAGCATGTGTGTAGTTGTGATCATACATTCGTGTGTGTAACTTGTGTGATATGTGTCGGGTATGTTTTTTGCTGAGTTCGCTTAGGTACTTAAGTTAGCTGAGCACTTGGGCATATATTTATAAATACATATCTATAATAGATGAATTACACTCAGGTGATAATCGCACTAGATTAGTCCTGTGTAGAAATGTAGTAGAGTTAATTGGCATAAGACTCATGAAAATTACTAAAAAAATTCAAAGGGTACTTCTGTGAGAAGATGATGTAAAAGATAAACTATCATATCAACCATAAATAGAGAAGGCACACACAGGTCCCTCCACTGAGAAATCCTTGTTAGGCGAGTTCAGTTTACTGTGTGTGACATATACCCATTTCAAATGTTTCGATATAAAAATATATATATATATATATATATATATATATATATTGTCAACAAACCCATGTAACACGATTAAAATTAAAGCTAGACAAAATTAAATGGTAGACCACTACGCAGCTGTGGCCGCATATTGGCAGCCACACAGATAGTTTTTTTTAAATATTCAATTCAATTTAGGTTGAATTACATTTGAATTACATTGAATTACAAAATGAGGAGCGAACGGCGAAGTGAAATAGATTATCCCTTAAATTACAGTCGAAATACACACACAAAGGTAACACACCAAAAGCTAAAGTTAAATGTTTGTTTTTTCGGTCCATTCATATGACTTAGTTCGACAATTCAGTTAATCAGTCAATAAGCCTTGAGTCTGATACTTCAAGGTTTATGTTTTAAAAATTATCAACACACAGATGATGCCTATTAGCCAGTGCTGCAAAGATATTGATTGATAGAGTTAGTGGTTCAGTTTCATGGAATGAAGTATCATGAGAGATTTGATAAAGAATAGATTATAACAATGATGATTTGTAATGGCAAATATTACACCATAAACTACTTACCATCAAGCACTTTTTTCTATAGACGTTTGTGAATGTTACATAGTTTTATAGCTCCTTGTACTTGGACATAAGCAATGTCACAAAAAAGGTGTAGATCACTCTTGGAATTTTATGGTGCCAAGACGTCTTAATAACAGGGGTTTAAAGTCTGAAATTGCCGTTGTATAGTAATAGATACTTTCAATTGATATAAAACCTTCATGGTGTGAGGTTTTCGTGTGAAACTTTTTTCAGATGCTACCAATGAAGTTCTTCTTTCAAAAATGTGCAACATTCGACTTTCGATTTTCAATTGTCTTTTTTTTATTCAGCTTAGAAATGAAAGATGAATACTTCAATAAATTTTTTTTAATACGTGTTCTGACACGAAACTAACGCGGCAGAAACGGCTCGCAATTTCAACGCTGCTTCCCAGGAGGCAGTATAAAATGCCTTCACACAGTTTGTCGAATCTAGATCCCCCGAGTTCTATCGTAAAGGCATAAATAAACTTCCGTTTAGAAGGCAGCAATGTATAGATAATGAGGGTAAATATTTTGATTAAACAAATATATTACATCTTAGAAAAAAACGAGTATCAAGTTTTCAGTACAAATCGGCAATGTCATGCTACTGCTATAGGAAGTAGGTCTGGCGTCCTCAGAGGATCATAGCAGTTGGAGCTATAAGTGAATACCATCCATCAACGTGTCGACGTAAGCAGCGCAACAGCTTGAATCTCTTAAATGGGATTTTGAGGCGGAAATGCCAGCCAAAGTTGGGCTACTGCGCAGATGCGTTTGAGGCTTGTAGCGACAGTTGGCCGCCAGCCAAAAGATACTAACGACTCAACAGTTAAGGCTCTTATGGAAATATTATAGTTATATAATATTAATACTTATAAAATAAATGGATGATATGCTCAGACAAAAGAAATTGTAATAACATTTAAAGTTATGGTAATAGCTGGAACCGTATAGCAAATAGAATTCTTGTACAAGAAATTGTTGCGTGATGATGATGATGATTTTACAACGACCAAATAACTTTAGAATCTCAAGGCAATTAATTTCTTGGTATTCCTCGGCTTTGACAAATACCGTACAAGCGTAGCAGTTTCTGTAAACACAGTTTCACGTGTCGATGTCGCCTGTTCTCAAAGCCACATTACTTCTGCTATATCGTGTATGCATGTATGTATACATGAATGGGTATTAGCCCACTGGGGCTAACCTACTGACGAAAAGACTGTGTTCGTAACCATTGTATTAAATAGCTTCTTGTTGTATTATATGTCTCTGTAAATCGGTTCAATTAATTGAGTTTTAGTATCAAATGCCCCTAACAGAGGTTTAACTCTTACCTTAATTCCAGTTGGTATATTAATAAAAAGAAAGCTCCTATGTTTTAAGAAAAAGATTATTATGTATTAATACTAAAGCAACGCACTAGCAGGTACACTGAGAAGAAATTGAAAGGAAATCAAGTGTTTTGTCTTTGTCTATATAGATAGACATGTATAGACATTTACGAGTAGATTCAGAAGAACCATCGAACTCAGTGTGTTATTTGATCGAACGTCAAACATCACAGTGAAGACGATAGAATTTTACTTTTGCTAAGACAACAGTTCTCTCGTCAAAGAATACAGTTAACACCAATTTGCACCTTCACTGACAATGCTTATTCACCGTTCATGCACTATCCCTTCAAAGTACGTCGGAAGTGCGTGTAATCAATACTCCAGCAGCTCTACGCCCTCGTGTCGTACATTCGCGACCAACGGGCATGCGGGTGCGTAATTATTGTTATTAGAGATAGCCTGGCGGTCGAATTTTGACCGTTTTGAATATCCTATTTTATTTCTCAACCAGTATAGTGTGAATTGTTATTGTATAGATTCCTGTTTCGTGGCATGTCAAAGCATATACTAGACCCCTATGTTCCTTTACCTTTAGTTTTATGTTGCCGTTTTACGTAATATCATATCGCACATTATATTCTTTTCTGCACTTCTATACTAAAACATTAAGTTTACCAAATATGCCGCACTTCCGTATATCCTTTTTTTTTACTTATAGGGGGCAAATTTTTCCACCTTTTTTCTGCTATTCAAACATTCTTATTATTTTATACAAATAATATTTGATAAATATTATATGGTACTTTTGTTTTCGAGTCGGTGGCGTGTTAGCGCCTTCGAAACTTAACCTTCGTCGAATCTATGAATAATCGATCGTCGATAGTATGTGTCTTTCTGTTGCGCGCTCTGTTGACCATGACCATGTATGTTTACATAGGCAAAAGTGTTCGAAAATTGAGACCATACGTCCCGTTTTCAATATGACTACCACCTTTTCAAAGCCAACTGTCCTGTGGTCCCCAAAACAAGATTCGGGAAGACAAAATAGCTCCGTTTTCCGAAACCTCGAAGGTGGCTCGTCAGAAACGGATACGAAGAGGCAGCATTCAGTAACAGTACACCAACGTTTCGCTTTTGTTTTGTTTTTACATAATGATCGTAGAGTGCTTTAGCAGAAATATGGTAGCTACTTGTAGGTTTTTTTGTTGTTTTGGATTTTTACCTCCAATGTCATTGTCAACCTACAAGCAAAATACCTATTTACTCGTATTAAGTTAATTAATACTCGTGAGTATGGATCTACTAATATATGTACCTTTATCACACCTAAACTACCAAATAATGAAATTAGGCACGGAGACAGGTTATAGCCTGGAATAGAACATTGATAGGATATTCATGGTAACGCAAATGAAGTTGTTGGTAAAAGAAAGTATAAAATAAGTCAGACTGTCTGACTCAATTACAAATGAAACATTTACCGTAGGATAGCCATGCTTCGACAGAAATGGACTGCCTCGACCGAAGTGACACCACGGCCTCACTTAAAATAAGTCTTAAGGAATATTTTCATAGCTTTTCACAGAGTGAATAAGGGTACCGGAGCCCTAAGAGCCCTAAAGAATACAAAGGACTTTTACCTCCTCAGCAATGAGAATAACATTGCTCTGTAGCCTCTGTAATACATTTCCACCGCACGCTTGAACGACACATCCCCACCACAAACTTACCGATCACTGCTTTAGATAAAAAGTATTCAACACAACGCTACGTCTTCTGACGTTCGTTGCAAAATGTACGGCAACACAAACCAAATATAACTTTATCTGCGTAAAAATAAAGTTAATGTGACAATGCACACGGAAAATAAAAGGTAAATTTAGTGCTTGTTAGTAAATGTGTGATGTGTCTCCATTGTAGTGAATTGAAATAATAAAATACATCGGTTGGTATAATATAGAGTGCATACTTTGTGGAATTTTTACTCTGGAATAACAGTGGTATGAAAGAAATATTGGTCTATTATTATTCTATTAGTGATTTTATTTTGGTATCCAAATAAAAATATTTGAGCTAATTGTTTGAATAAATTTGGCTATTATTCTTTATAAAAACATTTGGCCTGATATTTTTATTTTGAATTATTTACAATCGAATTAAATCTCCGTGTCTAATCCTGTTATACTACCATACTGGATATTATATTCGTTACTAAATTTTTACATGATATTTAGCTGATGTTCTGGTTAATTTAAGTCCAAGTCTTAAATCCCTAAGGCGCTGGTGTACGTTAACTTCCATCACTATCTTAACCTTTAGAAAAAAGATATATCTCATTCCTCTTCTTGAATGAAGAACTCTAGGTATAAATAATTTTCTATAAATTCATAAAGAAAAATAATTTTATCGTAAAAATGCGTGGGGTGCTAGATCTCGATTGCTGTAAAAATATTTTATTGACAAGTATTGGTAAAAGTAAGTAAGTAGGTAAAGCACCCTACGCTTTTTTCAGAACAAAAAACTTTTTTAAATTATAGAATATTACTTTCTACTTTTTAGTTCGGTTAGTAGAAAAGCGTGTTCTTTAGTTTTTTTAACAAAAATTCATTTATGCTTTTTTGTCATTAATGATGAATATTTTCTCATTTGAGTCTAAAAAAGTAAGCAAGTAAGTACACATATGCTTCAATACACGCCTTAGTTCGTGGTGCGAGACACTAACTTATTTTTAAACATGGAAAAAGCCGGTAATCCTGAAGATCAGGATAATCAAACAAATTTACTAAATTAATTTAATGTCATCGGTCGTTGATAAGTGAGAAATTTTAATTAAATCCAAAGTTTTAGAGTGGATGAAAATCACGTTCAAATTTTTACGTTACATAGATACATAACAAGCTAACAGAAGCATGTTAATAAAATAGGAGTTAGTTTTGAATACACGCACACTAGGTTTTCTAAATAAAATTGTACCGATACAACGTTTACAATATTTCTTTTATTATTATTTAATTTCACACACATTTAATCACATCACATCAACAGCCTTTAATAGTCCACTGCTGGACATAGGACTCTCCTTAGAAAGGAGGTTTTGACCTACTATACCACGCTGGCCAGACGGTTTGGTATAGGGTTTGTGTCAAGTTTTCCTTCTCTTTGCAGTGCTGTTGACCTGCGTAGTTTGCTCCCTTAGTCGACTCTTACGACACCCACGGGATAAATAGGGGTGGTGACACTCCGTATTCTTAATCCGTCACACACATTTAAATTTTAATTAAAAATAAAACAAACAATATTCATTATAATACCTTATTCTTACTTTTGATTGATGATTACTAGTATTACAAACTTGAAGACATTTTCAAACACACGATGTTGTAAAAGGTGATTACTTACTAGTTAATACTTAATCTCTTTCATGAATCCTCTAAATTTAGAAAACAAAGAAGTTATTTTAAATATATACCTATATATCATGGAGAGTGCTCCGAGGAATTTTTCGGACTAATACCAGCCGCAAATTTCCGCCATCGTTCCACACGGCAAAAATTTTATCCTCATTAAATCGATAGTTGGAGCTCCACTACTGTGCGCTTTTCGAGTCATTTTTTGCCCCGCACAACCAATCTGTGTAGCGGGTTATCGTCTGCGGTATTTCCGGACCGATACGACCTTCAAACATTCAAGAAAAAAGCGTACTCCTTCCTAAAAGGCCGGCAACGCGTTTGTGACTCCTGAGTTGCAGACGTTCATGGGCGGCGATAGTCACTTTCCATCAGGTGACCCGTCTGCTTATCTGCCCCCTCTAACATAAAAAGAAAAAAAATACCTATTATTAAACTTTTAATAACCTGTAAATAGCGTTTACGAAAGAGTTTTATCTCAGTGAACTGAACAACAAGGTCAGCAATTTTACAAACATTGGTTAATCTGATGATTTGAAAACACTTTTTCATAGTCATGAAATTAAATAAATAAACGGCAAGTCAAGTCTCAGAATATATGTCACGTTAGATAGTACTGTCATAAGATAAAAATAAAATCTAAACTATTTGATATAGAGATAACTTTATTGTCAGTGAAAATTTTAAATAGAAATAAAAAGATGACTTTGTCAATTTCAAACAAAATAAACTATAAATCGTTTTAAATTCATGCATATTTCTGCTTCATTACACTTTGTGCTGTAATAATGAGATTTAAAGGCTAAATACAGTATCTATAAACCTTCTACTTCTGTTCTTTTTCCCAAATTAATTTAGGATCGGTGAAATGAGTGCCAATGTCTCCTGTCATCTGCCATTTCTTTGCTTGCCACAACTGGCAAAGACTGGACTTCGTAAAATAGGAGATGGATAGAAAGGGATTCTAGCCATCTCCTATTTTACAAAGACCATCCATATTTTCTTTGGCCATTTTCTAATCTTGTATTCGTCAACTTTCATACATTTTTTTTTACCGCGTTTTGTTCATCTCTCTGCATCACATATCCTGAAAAATCTGTTGCTCCTGGACTTTTCATTCACGGCGCTACCGTATATATATATATATTGCAGAATATCGAATTTCTATATATTTTCTATTGTCTAGAATTTCTATAATATAGAATTTCTATATATATTGCAGAAGCAAAGACCAATCGTATTTAGGACAAACGATTTTTAATTTATTAAAGAGCTTGAGTGTTTTTTTTTAATGTTAGAGTGGGCAGACGAGCAGACGGGTCACCTAATGGAGAGTGAACCGATACTACCTTCAAACCTTCAAGAAAAGAGCGTACTCCTTCCGGCCGGCAATGTGTTTGTGACTCCTGAGTTGCAGACGTTCATTGGCGGCGATGGTCACAAAAAAAATATATATTTAAAAATATAGCTTTATATGCATAACTTGTTTTCTCTTGTTTCGTTAAATAGCTAATGATGCAACTTAGTTTCTAAATTTAAATCACTTTTGTCCTATTGTATTTTTTTCCTATTTTTTTTTTCAAGATCTCTTAATCAGGAATCGTTGCAAAACCCGTTATTATCTGACGTCTATTACCTATGTATAACCTACTGCTTTACCAATTTTAATGATACTACGAATACCATCACTATCACATGTCATTTTCAGTTAGACTATGGGACCGCTAATATGGCTGCCGTAGCGTTTGGGTTTTTTGGGTTTGAATTGGAAATTACATTTACATTTCACATTGGAATTAAATTTTTTAATTTTTCAGCAATGGTTTTGGATTCACCACTACGCCACCACCACGGTTGTATAACGGATAAAAGAAAAAAATCAGTTTAGTCAAGCTGTATTTTATTTTTATTTTAGTAAAACTATCGAATTGCTCGATTATTCAATACAGTGCAAGACCATGCGATATTTTCGTCTATATTTTTATTTTATTTTTTTCTTAATTTTTTAAAATAACAACTCACGCACTAGGAACAAATCTTCTGTCGCGGGGGACTTTACAAACATACATGAAACAGACACAAAGGACACCCAGACTCAGAACAACAATTTGTGGATCACACAAAGTGTCGTCCCATGTGGGGATCGGATCCACAACACTCGGCGTAGTAGTAAGCGGCGTGGCGACCGCTTAAACTACTACGCCACCCGTGCAGTCTACATCTAAATAAATACATGATTTTTACAATTTAAATTCTCTATTAACGCATGAAAATAATAATATTTTAAAACTATTCGATTAATTACACAAATAAATTCATCTGAACACGAACACAAATTAGTTACCTGCTATAGACATTTGTCTACAGTGTCATAAGTATTCATACGTTCACTATACATGCCTATATACCCTCGCTACTAACTTACGTACAAGAAGATAGCCTTGTAAACTCAAACCTGTCGTAATTACTAACTACTCGTATTAGTTACTCTAAAGGTTCATTCACGATGGAGGATTCATAACAGCTTTGAAATCACTTACAACTTCATAACCAGATAGCCTTAAAACTCTCTAAACTAAACTAAAAATCACAAAAAAAATGTTTAGTCCTCTTAAAAAACGTTTCGTATTCTAAAAAAATTGTAGTTGACTAGACTAAACTAATTTTTAGTGATTTTTAGTTTAGTTTAGAGAGTTTTAGAACAGCGGAATTAGCACCATTTTCTGTTTTAATTAAATCGAGCGATTGGTTTTAAGTAACTATAATTTTAGGTTCCACTTTATTCAAATACTAGTTTTAAGCGGTAAAAAGTAATCTATATCCTTCCTTAAGAATCAAACTATCTTCAAAAAAAAAAGTTATCTAAATCAGTTTAGCGGTTATTGATACCTCATGCAATTTTCCACCCCCCTTTTTCATCCTTTTAAAGGATGATTTCTGGGATAAAAACTATCTTATATAAAGGACATCAAACCATCGCTTTACCAAATTTCATGTAAATCAATTAAGCGGTTTAAGCGTGTTCTTCACGGTAACAGCCAGACACACATTCGCTTTTGTAATATTAGAATGAATTACGCGGGCGCATTATGTATGTGTGACGTCACTGTACACGGCGCCACTCTCACCATTCTGTGTCACTTATTCATTACTTTTGAATGTTGAAAACATTCACATAAAGTTTTGATACAATTATGTTTCCAACTGGAATAAAAGAAACTTGTACTTACTATATTGTACACACGTAACAAGAAATGGTTTTATTAATAATACACCTTACTGCAAGAAAAAAAATAGATGGTTGGTGGAATAGTCTATATTTAATTACCATATTTTTTTTGTTTTTATACTCATCATGGACAAGTTGTGTTTAGTTCCTTTAACTTATTTATATTATACATTCACGATTTTTCCCTTTAAGGTAAGCATAGATAATAGTACACTACTTGCTTTTTAAACTTTCAGA